GGGCGCCCTCTCCGGGAACGCGCGCCCCCCTGCTGCCCTCCCGCCCTCGGCCCGGGGACAGGGCGGGGGGGTCCCGGGGGCCTCACCAGGCGGAGCTGGCTGATTTCGTCGTAGGACATGAAGCTGAGGATGTTCTCGATGGCTACGATGGGCAGCGCCACCAGCGTGTTGTTTTGAGGCAGCTGGTCCGGAGCCAGCGCCGGCGCCGGGGGCCCCTGGGACCCCGGCTGCGGGGGCTGAGGTTGCGGCGGTGGGGGCTGTCGCTGGGAAGAGCCAGCAGCCGAGCAAGGACTGCCGTCACCGTGGCCACCGCCTCCCTCCTCAGCCATCCGCTCCTCCGACGCCGCCGCCATCTTGGGGGGTTTGATTCCTTCCCCCACTGCAAGGGGAACAGGGACACTTCCGGTGCGTCACTTCCTCCTCCTGCGGCCGCAGGGGAGGGGACACCTGGAACAGGAGGAGGGGTGTCTGGGGAGAAGCAGCAACGCTGATGTTTGCCTCGGTGATGAGGGACGATTGTATAAACCCCAAGAAAGTGGTTTCCCATCCCTTTCGTCCAAGATGGGAAACTAGGTGAGAGCAAGAGAGCCGTGCCATTACGACGAACTTCATTGGTGCGGTTTTCTTAAAGAGCTTCTTGGAAAAAGAAAGGCAAAAATAGTGTTGCCTAGTACGTGTACATGGAATGATGTAGTTAGCCTCTGACCATCTTCTCAAGAGTCGTAGTAATAGTGAATTTAGGCAAGTAAAAAGGGCTGGCCTACTGATGAAAAACACATGAATGAACCCTGAAAATAAGTAAGAGAAATCACACATAAAGTGTATGCTACCATTTTATAAATGTATTCATTTATTTCTTCAGAAAGAGGTGACACCCCAACAGGATCCGCACTCCATTGTCCACCCCAGTCTGGGCCACCGGGGTCACAGGTACGCGTTCGCGCCCTGTGTGTTCAGGGAGGTCGCAGGCATGAGCCCAGGACCTTCACCATGTGGGCTCGGTTGTACTCCCATCGCCCCACCACCTGGCTCCTGTATGATTCCGTGTATATGAGATGTCTGAAATCTGGAAGTCCATACAGACAGAAAATAGATTAGCGCTTGCTAGGGGCTGGTGGCAGCCAGCAAAGGGGAATGACTGCAATTGGGTTCAGAGTTTCTTTTTAGGCTGATGAAAATGTTCTGGAATTAGATAGTGGTGATGGTTGCACAACCTTCTGAATATACAAAAAGCCACTGAAATGTGTACTTTTAAATAATGAATTTTATTATATATGAGTTATATCCCAGTAAAACAATTAATATAGGCAGGGATCATCAGAAGATGCTAAAACTAGAAGGTAAGCATGTGATGAGGAACATATTTACATAGTCTCAAAATACGCCCCACAAATGATGCATTAGTCACAAAGATGAAAGAAGTACCTTTTAAATAGACAAACTTGGGCCAGCAGGTGACATGGTGGTTAAGGCTCTGGACTCCCACATGGTTGACTGTGGTTCAAGTACTGGACCTGGTAGCTTGCTTTCTCACTTTCCTCCTCTCTCTCTGTTTCTCTCTGATGAGCACACAGTGCTCTATAGCAAATTAAAACAATAAAATAAAGTTATTTAAAAAATAGAGATATTTGGTGGACATCCTTAAAACCAAATGATCAAGACTAACATCACAAGTTATGGGGCCGGCAGGTGGCGTGGTGGTGAAGGTGGCTAGACAAGTTATGGAAGGAAATGACATCATGTGCCACTTAATACGATATCCTAAAAAGGACACAGCATAATGTAGTATTCCTGGGGGGAAAAATAACCTGAATTTGAGGCAGACGATTCTGGTCTATACTTTTTAAAAAATTATTTTATTTAACTTTATTATTATTATTTTCCAGTTTTGATCAGACAGAGAGAGAGAGGGAAAGACAGAGAGGGAAAGTGAGAAAGCAAGCTACCAGGTCCAGTACTTGAACCACAGTCAACCATGTGGGAGTCCAGCACCTTTAACCACCACGCCACCTGCCAGCCCCTATACGTTTTTTTTTCCAAAGAATTATTTATTGGGGGCCTGGCAGGTAGTGGGTGGTTAAAGGTGCTGGATTCACACATGGCCGACAGTGGTTCGAGTTCCGGACCTGGCGGCTTGCTTTGTCCCGTTCTCTGTCTCTCTCTGGGAAGCACACATGCCCTACGGCAAAATTTAAAATACTAATAATCATAGTAAAGGAGCTTGACTAGAAGAAAGCGGAGTGGGCACCACACACTTGAACTGTGAGCGACACAGCGGGAGCACAGCGGGTGGAGACAGGTCTGTGTGCTCGGGCCACGCCTCCCAGCCTCCCACATGACCCACTGTGGTTTGAGTCCCAGACCTGGCTCACTTTCTCTCTCTCTCTGTCCCTCTCTGGTCAAGTTAAAAAATTCATAAATAATTCTTAAAAAGAGAGAGTTTTTATTTAATTAATTAATTAATTAATTATTATTTAATTTGACCGGAAACACACACAGAGAGAGAGAGAGAGAGAGAGAGGGAAAGTGAGAAAGCAAGCCACCAGGTCCAGGACTCAAGCCATGTTCAGCCATGTGGGAGCCCAGCACCTTAACCACCATACCATCTGCTAGCCCCAGGCCTATACTTTTCAAAAATATTAATGGCAGGGGGAACCAGCAGTTAGTGTAATGGCTATGTCACTGGACTCCCATGTAGTCAACCGTGGTTCGTGTCCCAGACCCGGTGACTTAAAACTCACGCCAGGTGTGTGTGCGTGCGTGTCCAAGATCCCGAGAGGAGAATGGAGGAGAAGGGATTGCGGCATGACCATCCCCCCTGGGGGGTGATTTCTCACTTTCTGTCTCTATGTCTCTCTCTCTCTGGCTGGTGAGCGCACGCACACCCGCCCTATAGCGAAAACCTCTCCGAAAAAAAAAAAATTAATGGCAGGGAGGCCAATTTGTGTTGCCGTGGTAGCACACTGGACCTGCACGAGAAAGGTCTTGGGGCTTCTTCATCTATAGATCTCTCTGGGCATGTCAGGTCTGTGTGCGTACAGGCCTGTGATCCGGGTTAGATGACTCTGGGGGGTGGGTCATGGCATGATGTTCTTGTAGGAGCTCTCTCTCTTTCACGAAGAGAAATAAAAATTTATAAAAATTTTAAAAATACATATTAATGTAAGAGCCAGCTACTGTGTGCCTGTAGCGCCAGCTACTTTGGAGGCCAAGCCAGGAGGATTGGGAGATCAAGGCCAGGCTGGGCAACGTTAATGAGACTTTGTTTCTAAAAAAATTTTTTTTAATGTTATGTAAGACAAAGACTAAGGGATTTGTGCCAGATTAAAGGAAACTAAAGAGATATGGCAAGCTAAATCCATGAGTGATACTGGATTGAATCTTGACTTAGCAGGAAAATAACTGCAATAAACATTATTGTAGGGAACCAGCAGTTAGCGTAATGGCTATGTCACTGGAATCCCATGTAGTCGACCGTGGTTCGTGTCCTGGACCCGGTGGCTTAAAACTCACGCCAGGCGCATGTGCGTGCGTACCCAAGATCCCGAGAGGAGAATGGAGGAGAAGGGATTGCAGCGTGGCCATCCCCCCGGGGGGTGATTTCTTGCTTTCTGTCTCTCTGTCTTTCTCTGTCTGTCTGGCGAACACATGTACCCTATAGTGAAAAACCTCTCCCCCCAAAAAAATAATAATAAATAAATGAACATTATTGTAACAATTAGCAAAATTTGACTATAAACTATATGTTAGATCATAATATTGTAATCATATTAGATTATTTGATTTGGATGATTGTATTGTAGTCTTATAAGAGAATATTCTTGTTCTTAGGAAATGCATATTGATATATTTAGGGGTAAAAGGAACTGATGCCCCAATTTACTCTTCAAAATAAATGAGAGAATAAGATTAATAAAGCAAATAGGACAAAATAGGTGAATTTGGCTGAAGAGCATACAAGAGTTTCCTGTACACAGAATTTCAGAATAAAAGCATTTTAAAGGTTGCTTGATATTTCCACAGCTTTGTATCTTCATAATATCCTGTTAACAACAATAAAGGTATACAGCTCACTAAATGTCAAAGCTTTCTAATCTTCAGTTCTGAAGTTTAAGTTTACAGTATATCCTTCTTTGAATTCGTAGTTTGCTAGAGGGCACATGTACTCACCAGAGAGAGAGAGAAAGAAAAAGAGAGAGGGAGAGAGAAATTTAAAAAGTACCCTCCATTATCAACTGGACTAGGGACCAGCAGTTAGCGTAATGGCTATGTCGCTGGACTCCCACGTAGTTGACCGCGGTTCAAGGCCCGGACCCGGTGACTTAAACTCACGCCGGGCGTGTGTGTATGCGTGCCCAAGATCCCGAAAGGAGAATGGAGGAGAAGGGATTGCAATGTGGCCATCCCCCCTGGGGGGTGATTTCTCGCTCTCTGTCTCTCTGTCTCTCTCTGTCTGTCTGGCGAGCGCACGCACCCTATAGCACAAACCTCTCAAAAAAAAAAACATTATTAACTGGACTAGGGAGAAATGTTCACATGTTGAAATATTCACTTTGTAAGCTAAATAATGTGATTGAATGTATAAAAGAAAACGAAATTTAAAAAATGTAAATTTAAAAAATGAAAAATAAAAGTGTCCTCCATAGGAGATGGTCATGCTGCAATCCCATCTCTATTTCTCCTTCTGGATTTTGGGCACACATGCAAACACACCTGACATGTTTCTCAAACCATCAGGCCCGAGACTTGAACCACATGGTGGTCTGTGTGAGATCCAGCTGCCTTAAACACTGTGCCACTGGCTGGTCCTGTATCCTTTCTTTTGCAGCTTTGCTTTGGATTCCAGTTGTTAAACAGTAGATATGGCAACTGCAGGAAAAGCTAAGTATGACTAAGGGCAACTAAAGCAAGGAGGGGCAACTAAAACAAGAAAATTAATTGGAGGCATTGGTGATGAGCTTATCAGAATTGGCATTCCTTCCTCATTCACTAGACATGCAAAAAATTAGTGATTTTTACCTATCCCTGTGGTAAAACCTTTGATTCTCTTGCCTTGGGACTGTTAGCATTCAATATATGCTTTATGCTGAACTGTTTCTGACATGTTTGCATATTTATAATATATTAGTTTTATCTCCAGTAATATTATAATTTCAGTTAAGGTCTCATTATCTTTTTGCAGAACCTATTACAGTTTAGTCTAAATTGAATTTATTTTCTACCTTGTTTTATTAAATTTAGATACTTTCTTGATAGTTAAATTGAAATAGAATTTTCTGTAAATGGAAATCATACTTTAAATCCATAATGGGAGCTCTCATTTAAAGGAAATTCGATAGAAAATCCTTTGAGTTACCACTCTCTAGCTTATCTATTTTGTGAGTCCAATCA